ACTAACGTTCCGCTACTGGCGATGGCGCACTCCTCTCCACATTACAACCTCCTTGCATTCTTTGACTACGTTATATAACACATCTTAAGTACGACGTAAAATATAATTCCCATTCCACGAACACACAAACATTTAAGATATGTATACATTAACAAAAATAAATCATGATGTGATAATATTTAGACAATCGTATTAGTTCTTTTACTATGTAAAGGGGATAATATTTTCTTTAAAAATAAACATGTTAAATAAATAGTACACGAAAAGATCTCTATCAGGAGTTTGTTTTTAATATTAAGTTACTTTAACGTTTAAGGTCTCATTAAAGACTTCAAATAAATAGAATGAGATAAATCATTTATCTACGCCTATCCTATTTAATTTATAGTCGTAAGAACAACATGCAGTGTGCAGCTCAATCGATACTGTCCGCGTCAATAACTCGCTATTTACCTACCACGTTAAAAATAGCCTTTTGAAAAACGTGCGCGAATCCACTTGGTAGAATTCTTAATCGCACTGATGAATTAAATTGTATAAAGATCAAATTGAAATACAACAGTAAAAACCTATTTTAACTATGCGACTGTTAAAGTTAGTTAAAAAGTTGTACATGTATCTTTTATATGGTTAAGTTATAGCTATAATAATTGTACTTACATTATGTAACTTTGATTATAAATAAGCAACTTAGATGCTGGTTATTTCATTTTAATTATCGAATTACAATAACGATTCAAGGGTCCGCATCCGCAACAGTTTTTGCATAATAAAGAAAAATATAACTGCAAGCCAGACAAATAGGTTTAGTTTTATGATTTGCATAGAATTAGATTTCTTATAACCTAGATGAAGTATGACCTTATGCGGCGAACTCACTCTAAAATTGGGTCAGAGCATTAACCCAGATCGCACAACGCCACTCATCGCGTTTCTACTTTATCATAAACTACAACTGGTTCAACAAACCAGTTATTATGAAAAAAAACATATGCAAATCAATCTAATATTGATAAAAAAGTATAAATATTCTGTCAAATTTATGCCGAGCGCGCGAATTTCGTCGCAAAATTGTTTTTTTTTTACGTAATAAATAACTTTAATTATAAACGTATCGGGAAGTTGAAACTGATTTGATATAGAAAATCAAAATCTTAGTTTATTAGACTTGTGTTAATCAGCTCTGAACCGAATCAAAAGTTCAGATCACAGACTTGAACCGTTGAGCTATACCACATCAACTAAATTAGCAGCTCATGGCTCATCGTGATCGTGACGAGCCGTGAGCTATCTGGTTACTCTTAGTTCATAGTTCGAAACACAAATCAAAACGCTACGAAAGTATAAATTGAACTAAACTGAGAACCGGTTCACTGATTCGCTTCACATATGGGAATCGTGAGCTGATCTGCGGGTCATTAGTTTTGAGTTTCCTATTACTATAGTTTATTAACTGTAGGCTTACATAACACTTGTACAAATACACATTGATATCTCTGTTTATTGTTAACGATAAATGTTTTTTTAAAGTATTACGACAGTGATACTCCACGGTTAAACGTACAAAACAACATAATAAATTCAATGGACATTATCGCATTTAATTTTAGAACAAGCTCGCAAGTCTCGTTTGGATAAACATGATAACATTGAAACAAGGAAAATTAATTCTATAGTACATTTTGGTACTAACAATATATTAAGAAAAAATTTGAATGTTTTCTATTTTAAAAATAAATTTTATATAATAGATTTGACGCTAAAAAAATAAAAGCGTCAATAGCCTAATGGTTAAGGGTACTGATTTCCGAACACGAGGTCGGGGGTTCGAATCCCGCCATTCGACTATTGTCGTAAACCATATCCTAGCACAAGCCTAGAGCTTAGTTGGAATGGTAAAAGAAATATTAGAAAATTAAAAAAAAATCTGCTAATTTAAAAAAAAATTGTAACGATCCTTGACTTCTTTGGCATAGGAAAGGGCTCGAACGCTTAAATCGTCTAATATTAATTCATTGATAAATATTCACATATGTAACTAATTAATGAAACAGAATTTTGTTGTCTTTAAATCACATTTCTAAGCTTTTTTTTTTTACTTTCTTACCGTGTGTTTCTGAGATCAAAATATCCGTTTAAAACATATTATTGTCTGTTTTGTCAAAGAAAGGGAATGACGATATGTTTATTATAGAGTTGTTGGTCTCAGAAACCAAATGTTACATGCGCATAAATTCTACCTATCTATATATCGAAACACTAAATTTCCTTTTTTTAGTGTTATAAAGTTTGAACTATTATAAAGTGTTTAAAAAATCCTAATTTCAATTACCTACTAAACGAAACAATCAACATCAAAGTGTGCTAAAGTTAGTGATTCTTGGCACGTGTCCATTGACCGGCCACTAATGACACGACGCCCGACGGTTTTTTTTTGCTTAAATTATACATAAATAATCACATCTGAACCACGACATCTAGCGGTCGACAATGGAAACTTTCAAATGATTACTTCCATTTACCGAAATTTAATTCAATTAGTTATTACATGATTTATTTTCACTCTGTTATTAGTTTATTATCTTATATTTGGATTTAATTATTGATTTTGAGTTTTATTTTGTGAACAATACATATTACATTCATCATTTTACATTGCCGCACAGAAAACAGCTGTCAAGTGAAATCAATTCCACATTTCGTCTGATGAGTGTGCGTGAGAGGACTAATTTTTCTTATAAGAAAATTATGACGAGGCAGTAGATTTGGGGAAGGAGGTGACGCATGGAAAGGGGTAATATCCTTAAGATTAAAAACAACTAGTTAGATGTGACTAGGCTTTAGTCAATCGTGCTGGCTAAGTCATTATCAGCTATACGACCCCGCTAAGGGCCTCGGAGTCTACCCAAGTTAGGGATGACTAGGCCATTGTCAACCATGCTGCCAGCCGTTCAATTTGTTGATTATGTTAATTAAAAAAATTTACTCTAAGAATTAATATATCCACATACCTGTAGCAATACCCATATCCGTGACTTTCAGCTGACCTTGTTTGATCATAGCCTCATAGTTAGGCTTGATGGAAGTCAACTCTGTATTATACAAGCCAAACATTTGTCCCTGCACCGGGTCTTCTTCGTACGTAAACAGAATCTGTATATCCTTGACCAGAGCTCGTTGTACTGTCGCATACCAAGATTGAGTCACTCTGCAACAAGAAAAGCATTAAAATTTAATTTTATTAAAATTAAAATAAAATTTTCATGCAAGATTTGACATCTGACATATTTAAAAATGTATACTTTTTTACTTTTTATAATTAAAAGCTTTTTGTCACAAAAGAGGTTTATATGTACCAAACTGTACTAAAAAGATCTTACTTCATCAATTGATGTAGCTACATACTAAGTTGATTAGTTGGTACAATAATTTTGCATTATTACGGTAAGTCTTCTGTGGTTACTCTTTTACTATGATATTGCTGTCTCTGCTATTCATATTGATAAAAACAGAGATAGCAATATTATTCCTCTACATGTATTCAGTAGAAATTCACGTTATTAAAAGTTAGGAGATATTATGTAGGAATAGGTGGTCGTTATTTTTATACCTTCGTGGCATTGTTGTCATTGCCTCCCAGTACTGATCAATATATGGAATTATCTCTCTATCCTTGCTAAATAGCATTTTATTGTTTCCCTCCTTAGAGCTTTCCTGTTTCAAATTGGCAATAGCGGTTAGACACATCTGCGGGAACGCTGGGAACAAATAAAACATTTTTATTTATTACTTTTAAATAACACAAGACATCTAAGAAATAGTGTAAGATACTAATATTAATATATTAAATTACAAAATAAATTGCCACAGTACATAATAATCCTTACATGTTTGGAATCCTTTTTAATAAAACAGCAATAATAATTTGAAATACTGACATAAATAAGAATAAAATATTTTTATTTTTGATTGTATGAAAAAAATTATAATTTGTTTTGTTTAAAAAAGCGTTGAAGCTGTGGGAACAGTACGAGCTGGCCAGCATGAATATTATTAATATTCCACATTGATTTTACAAAAATGTTTTAAATCTATACTTACGTGCCTGGTTCTTCTTAAAAGTCTCTAGTCCTGTTGGTGAACAGTTCTTGCAGATGAAAAGATAGTTTGTCATGAATGGAACAAGCTTTCCCAATTGATATCCAATGCAGGACTCGTGGTACCATCTATTACATGATGCACATAGCAGCTCAACTATATTTAAATTCCTCTCTTTACCACTGGAATTATCAAACAAACAAGTATTTATATAACTTTAACTGTAATTAACAATTTTATCAAGTAATTATAAGAGAAAAAAAACAGTAAAGTTTTATATAAGAAAAATTAACACTCAGTTTTTCTTTTTACATTTGGTTAATTTTTTTCTATCATACTTGGACTAAGACACCATTAAACTTTTTTATTAAAAAAAAATCTTGTACCAATAGCAACTGCTTTGTTGTGGGTCTCCCGCGCTTTTGTTTTTACTCTTTTCGCCATTCTCCCCCGCTTTTTGAGATTCTGAGTTTTGTGAATTATTGGCTGTAATATCCATGTCGATTGACTTTCGTATTCCATCTGCTAACGACATCGTGTATTATTCAATTCAATAAAATATCTTTATACCACAATATAACACATAATTGTTTCTTTGCTTATTTTATTAAAAGATATCTGTACAATACAAATACAATGTGATATCGAATTGACAGGTAAAGCAAGGTGTTTTATGGCTTGACATTTAAAATTACCCAATTTTTGACACATAAACTGTATTGTCTCCTTCAGTCAATACCGTATCATATAAGTGTGAAAGAGACAAAAAAAAATTAAGTGTACTATTTAATTTAGCAGTATGAAAACTTTCTGTTCGAAAATTTAAAGTTTTAATTTGTCAGTTTCATGAGTTATGATTTATGATTCTCATCTCTCGCACTTTGAGTTATCGCTTTCATTTATCATCTATGCCCACCATCTGTCACCTGTCACTGTCACACCAAAGTTGTTATTTTGAAATTTGAATTTTGAAAAAAATTGAGACAAGCTTCTTCTTACATCAATTTTAACTGAATTCTATACCTTTAGGTATAACATTCCTTATTTTTATTATATTCCGAAATGGACACAATTAACAATCCAGAAATAATAAGCCTAGGCACTAAAACAAACCAAGATTGTATACTCATGGATATTATTAAAGAATTATGTTCGGATAAAAGTTCTCTTTCAAGTAAAATTATTAAAAAGGTTACAAGTATTATAGAAGACAATGAATTATTACACTATGGAAGTCTGCATAAATTAAGTACGGCTGATGAGAGCTCATCAACTGTTTTAGGTCAGTATGATATTTACTAAAAACTTGGTTTAAACGAGGTTCAAAGTGCTTTCATGTTGATGGGGTGATCACTTTCCCTGTTTATTTACCCGTATAAAAATATACCGTAGAAGGATTTCAATTGTTATGTATATATATTCCAGCAATATCAAACATAAATTCCATATAAAATATTTCTATTTCTAGACTCTGATTCATGAATTTTTGGGAATTTCCAGGAGTTTTGCATCAAACATCATCTGAACTAACATTTGATGAACAGGCAGAACTGAACCAAGCAATTATTCACAAAATACAAAGCAAATTACCAACATTTACTGCCGAGTTAGAACATTTGAAGCAAAGTAGGGACAAGCAAGCAAGCAATAAAAACCTAATAAAAGAAATCCGTGAGTGTATAAATGACAAATTACGTCTATTAGAAGAACAAGAAAATGAGAAGACAGATCTAATGATGGACTGGATCAATCATAGAATGCAAGATGTGTTGAAGTTTAGTGAAAACTCTAGTGAACTTCTTACACTAAAAACAAAGATTATTGATCTTAAATCTCAGTAAGTTACATCATATTTTTAGTATAGAGTTTGTCAGATATTTGTGACTCGGAACATCAATACAAGTCATTATGCGGAACATAATTTTGTTGTAACGGGAGTACAGAGATACAGAGGGAGGACTCGGAGCAACTCATAGAGGACTGTGAGCCACCAAGATATTTTTAAAGACTCATACCTATATTAATACAAGCTGTCGCCTGCGACTCTGTCCGTGTGGAAATAAAAAAAACTTAATTAATGTAGCCCCACCCATCACATCCATCTAAACATTTGCATTTATAATATTAGTAAGTTAAATAAAAAGCAGCTCTTCAAGGCATAAATTCGAAAAAAATGAATAAATAGTCTCCTATGATCTCCAGGCTCTATGCTACCTCCTTACCAATTTTCAGCCATATCGGTTAAGCCGTTCATAAGTTATAATAGTGTAACTAACACGACTTTCTTTTATATATATATATAGATGTCATATAATAAATAATTGTTATTTATTATTTTGATAAGCGAGAATCTACTATGTACATATGTACCGAATTTTCTACTTACTGCTTAGAGATATATGTATACCTTTTTTGTTATTTTAAGAGTAATAATGAAAGGTGGATTTTTAATAAAAAATCTTTGTTTCAGGATTCTCAATTTGCAAATATTACAAAACATTTTCACAGAAACAAACCAGTCTGTCAAAGCATACGGTGAAATCCACAAGGATCTCAAAGATAGTATTATGGAAACTGAAAAGCGAATTAGACAATACAAAGATATTGTGGAAACTGATAACGATTGATATTTTTTTTACTATATTTTTTATTACAGAATTTTTTTTTAAATTTCAACACATGTATACAATCCTTTAGAGCAGTGGTTCCCAAACTTATTTTGACTACTGCCCACTTTGAGAATAAATATTTTATTAGCGCCCCAATATTTTCACATATTTAAAAACCACTATAACTTCAAATTAAATTAATTAATTATTGTGACCTAAATATGTATATTAATAGAGAATTCTAAACGAAACGGAGAATTCCCGCAACTTGAGACCTGCAGCGCCAACAAGGGGGCGTTATCGCCCATTTTGGGAAAGACTGCTTTAGAGTGTTTAAATTATGGGATGAGCAAATTTTTTTTATTCAAGTCATTTGCAAAGAAGAATGAAAATATTGGTAAATAACCACTAGACACAAGTTACATACATATCTGTTGCTATGGTTTGAAAAAATATATATATGGCCACAAGTGGGCACAGTAAATCCAGAAATTAACTTCGTATAATAATATGTCCCATGACTATTTAATACTTTGAACAGAATCTGAATGTCCAAAATAATCTAAAAGTTAAAAGCAAAGTCGAAAAGATCGTCGAACATGGCAACTCCGAATTTGCACAGCAATCTTCTTAAAGTTTCCACTGTGAAACATTTTAATAAACAGAAAAATATTTCACTAGGAAAGACATTTTAAAATTTTAAATTCTTTAATAAAAAAAAAATAACAAAATGGTTTGAGTAGTTGTTTCGGAAACCCACTTTAACGCCAATCGGAATTCGTTTGTCCCTGTTCGTGAATACAATATCTTTAGCGGGCGGCAAACGACCGGGCTTTGTGGCAAAAAAAGTATTCGACGACTTTAGGCCGATGATGTTGATGAATATAAAATCCGATGTTCTCAGGGTATATTCTTGTGTTTGATTTATAACTTAATATATTCAAGCCCTAAATAAAAATAAATGGCGCAAAAATACAAACGAATTTAGAACCTCCGCCTCTTTGAAGTCAGTTAAATAGAAAGTTAAAAGTTTGTGCCTTTTGTTCTTTTCTTTGTGCGATATAATTTTCCGATATAGTAAACGTTGCATTTGTTCATTGCAATTTTTATAATCGTGACTACATTTGTAACGTGATAATATGTCGTTCACTTATTTAATTATGAAATTAAAACAATGGGTAGACTTTGGATTTTATACGTAATTTAGGTACTAAAACAACATTTTTTTTTTGTTATTTTTAAGTACTTTAACATCAAATTATTCAAACTTTCGTGAGACATTATACTAAACTGATGATGAACTGAACTGATGAACCGTAGCTCACTGTAAGCGAGCGACGGGCCGCGTCCGCGAAATAATACCAGTACCACTCATCATGATGAAGGGCCCCCGATGGGCTCGAAACTAGTCGGTGCCGCCACCGGACGTATATACGTGAGTGTTTAGCCGTGTTTATATATCAGTTTACTTTAATATCACAAGGAAATAAATCACAAAAGGCCAAATAAGATTCATACAAAAAAATATATATATATTTTACAAATAAAAAGCTTTAGAAATTTTGAAATATGGGCAATATTTGTAATTGTTTAATCAGCCGTCCGTGTATTATTTGTTTAAACCTGTTGTTTAATGTCCCGTTTTTCTTTAACGATATATTTTTAGTTTGAGTGATCCATTCTCTGTTTTTAATAATTGTCAATAATTCAGAAATCATTTGGTGACTATATACTGTATTCGTCTGCCCGATTCGTTCAAACTGTCGAGGTACGCAATCCTGTTGCGCTTTTACCGAGATTTTCCCATACTATATATAATATATATTCTTCCATCTAGCCATTTCTTCCATCTAGAAGAACACAAGGGCTACACATTTGTTTTTTTTAATAGATAATTGTTCTATAAATTGTTTAACTGATATTTTTTCTTCCTTTAGGTAGGTATAAATTGTGACATACTTCTAATCTAAATCCTTTGTTTATTTTATTTCCTTTATGGAAAATAACTTTATTCTTTGTCCGAGTCCGAGTTTCCTTTACATTGTAGGCACATGAACTATAAGAAATGTGTAATTGAAAAACTTTGTACGTTATCTAAAGCCAAATAGATATGAATCATCACGTGTTCGTCAGTCGCATCTGGGACGCTGTGAAGTGTGGTCGTGTGATATATGTATACGGTGATTTTATGACGTCAGTGCCGGCTTGATGATGGATACAGCTGTTGAGATATTTCAGTACGTATTAACTAAAAAAGAATATTTTTAAAATTGGAATTGTCTATGCCTACTTGATTTTTATCGGCTTTAGATTCAAGGTAGAATAAGATTTATGTCATCGTGTTTACATCTGCGTCAAGATAATTTTATTTATTGTTGTTTTTAATTATAACAATTAACTTGAATAAATAACAATGTTCTTGTTACTAGAACGGACTCCAAGATTTTTTCTAATGTCTAGAAGTAATATTTTATGTCATAACAAATTAATAAATTTTACCCTAATGTTGTCGAAAAGAATGAGCATAGAATAACTGGCTGCACATAAGTATTTATTCGAAGGTAAACTGCAATGCCAGTATTACAGTAGTATTAATCAATTAGATACAGCCAAGGTCTTTGATCTTATTGATGCGATCACAACAGTAATAAAACTATAAACAATAAAACCTCCTTAAAGTATAAAACAAAATAAAAACAGACATAAAAAGAAAAAAACTATAATTACGTAGTCGTATATGCTAGTTAAAAACTTATTTTGGTTATTAAAATTGTCAAGCTCTCATAGCTCTGTTATAACTGGTGATGATTTTATTAAGCGTCGGAAACTAGGAAGGAGGTCATTCACGTAATATTCTTTACAATACTGTGTCCAGGACATTTAAATACAGATTACGATGTATCATCTGTGCCCACGATACAGGCATTGCCTAGTGTGGGCATGACTAGATTATCCAAATTAATCATAAATAGTAACTTAAGTTTAATTTAATTTCTTAGTTATGTGCAATTTTTATTATGTTAGTTATTGTTTCTTGGTTTAATCTTTATTACCTATAATAAAAACTTTTCTTTCTTTCTTTCATATTTGGTTTATCTCAAGCCTACTAAGATTTATTTAACCTTTAATTCCACTAAATTTTACCTTCATACTACCAAGGGTTTTTTACATGGAATTTGATTAATAACAGGCACTGGTTGCAGTACGAATATTTGTGACAAGCGACATCGTTATCGACTTTTATACTTAAAATTTGTGCAGCGAATGTCAGGTGTAAAGTACACCAAAAAATATTATAATAGTTTTGTCATATAATTAGCGTTGACGATACAAAGGCTATGTTAAATACAATGAATAAAAACACTTTGTTTTGTTATTTCAAAATTAAATTTATAATGAAAACATAAATGCATCATTATTTTGTTTTTAATATCATGCATTTAAAAATGCAATTTTTACAATATTAATATCAATTATAATAAGTAATAATCAGACGCACGCGATATTATCTAGTTACTAATTAGGTATATGATAACTAAGTATATAATCAACTTATATATCTATCATTTAAAAATACATTTTAATTGCATAAGAAAAAAATTACTATTAAAATACATTGTATGAAAAACACAGAAAGAACAAAGTAAGTTTAAGGTAAAAGCTGTCAAATAACTTAATGGTGATTTATGAAGCTTCATTATTAAAAACCAGATTAAAAACTTCGATCTGAAGCATTACTTAGCAATACCTTGACTTGTAGGAGCAACATCGAAAAACGGCCAGTTGCCATTTTTCATTTAAAAAAGGAACATGATATGCATTTCCTTTGAAATAAAAAAAAATATTTTTAATCTAAACCAGCCTTTGTATATGAACAACGGATGTACAAACGATAGTGTTGTCCTATAATTATTCCAAATTTAAATCCGTATACCTACCATATTGCTATCGCCCGAGACTCCGTCCAAGGAATTAAAAAAAAAACTTATCCTTTCAGACTATGTTCAACATCTGTGCCAAATTTCATCAAAATACATTGAGCTGTTTTGGAGTTACCTATAAACATCCATCCATCCATCCAAACATTTATAGTATTAGTAAGATCGATAAAATGACAAATATCATCGTACATAAAATGTCTTCAAAATATAGACGGTAAAAATAACTGTGTTAATAGTTGTGTAATATTTAAACTAAATAGATTTACGTTGATAAGAAATGTAATCGTCAGTTTACGTCGTGTGAAAGATAAACTAAATATACGAGTATGTACTTAGTTATCTGTATACGGACTCCTCTTTCCCAATAAATATATAGGTACTTTTAGGATATTATTTAAATTACAAATATGAAACTCATCTTTTGTATTTGAATATTTTCTCTAAGTAAAGGATCAAGATATTGTCTAGTATCTCGTTCTCATGTAAATGCTCCGTTTGAAATCAAATTGTAGTTAATCATAATATTTTTTTTCCTGACTTATATTAAATCTTACTTCTTACTAATATTATGAATTCAAATGGTTATATCGATAGAACACCGTTTGGAAGAACTCATAGGCTACTAACTAACTTTTTTTTTTTAATTCCGCGCAGGCGGAGTCGCGAGCGACCGCTAGTATGATAATACAGCTTCCATTACGAATACATAGGTAATAGAAATAACTGAGACTAAAATCCCCGTTTAAAAAATATTGTTATCTCTGTTTTGTCAAAGATAATGACAAGGATGATATGTTTTATACAGAGATTTTGGTCTCAAAAACCCACCACCACAGTTCAAATTTGACATTTTTGTTACAGTTTTGTATCAGAAAAGCTCGGTATACAATGGGCACCGCGAAACGTTCCGATGACACGGCGTCTCCAGACCCTGGGTGCTGCCGGCTGGATCTGCCTCGTTCTGTTCGGAGAAGCTCTCAGTATACTGGTCTTCCTCAGCATCTTATATTCCTCGATGTGGTGGCTCGCGCTGGGCTACGCGGTCTGGATGCTCAAAGACGTTGAAACACCCAACAAAGGTGGACGTAGGTGAGACATTGAGTTTTGAAAAGTCCGGTTTTCTGATGTCTTTCATCTCTTGTTAACTTGAATAGTAACAAGTCTGATTTGTAAGACGGAAATCGTAAACTATATCACTATTTAATTTTATACGTATATATTTTGAGGAAGAAAATCTGACACTGTGCCGGTGTACTGGCACAACACTAGCCTTACTAAAATGTCGACGTTTATGTCACCTCACTAATCATTCTGACACTTGACTTTGCAATGTAAGCGCGCCATCCTCGTCAAAGGATTGTAATTAATAAATGTCTAAAAATATAAAAGTAGATTTAGACGAAATCAATGAAAAAGTTATTTAAGGAATCTTTCGTTATATTTTTCAGATTCGAATGGGTCAGGAATTGGTCCTGGTGGCGGAACTATTGCGACTACTTCCCAATTAAATTAATCAAGACTGCTGAGTTAGATCCATCGAAGAATTATCTCTTCGCATGTTTCCCGCACGGCGTTGTCAGTTCCGGAGCGTTCGGAGCATTCGCCACTAACGCGTTAAACTTCTACAGAACATTCCCTGGCATGACGTGCCATATGATAACATTAGGAGGTCACTTCTTAGTTCCACTGTTCAGAGATCTGATTCTTGCGTTAGGTGGATGCGCGTCATCAGAAGAGAGTCTATTACATTTATTAGATAAGAGGAAACATACGGGGAAATGCGTGGCGCTGATTGTTGGTGGAGCTGCAGAGGCACTGGACTCGCATCCTGGAGAATACTGCGTCATTCTGAGCAGAAGGAAAGGATTTATACGAGTTGCCATGAAAACCGGGTAAGATATATTTCGCAAGACGCTTCTACGTATAAAGAGTACGCCTTTACTCTACGTTTGTTCCAAAAACAATCTGAGACCCACGGAAGCAGAAGGAGGTAAATAAGTCGAGATTTCATAAGTTTAAGAATAAATATATCGGAAGGGGATTAATCGAGACTAGTTAAAATCTTAAATGCTAATGAGTAGTTACAAACAAAATTTATTCCATTCCAGGGCACCTTTAGTTCCCGTATTCTCGTTCGGCGAACCGGACGTGTTCCGTCCGCTGAACAACCCGCGGGACAGTCTGCTGCGCCGCTTCCAGGAGAAGTTCCGTGAGTTGACCGGCATATCGCCCATCCTGCCCATCGGCCGCGGTTTCTTCCAGTATACGTTCGGCGTACTGCCTTTACGATCGCCTATTACTACTGTTGGTAAGTCATCAATTATTTTTCTTTTATAAAAAGTATAAACAGAGTATAAGCTACTATCACTTCCTTGTTTGAAGTTACTTCTTTCTCAGCTATGTCCACTATAGAAACGCCAATAGCCTAAACGTTGAACGATCGTGCATTCGATCACAAGGTCGTAGATTTCATTTCATATAAATCAAATAAAATATCCGAGCACAATTCTGTAGCTTGTAATTGAAATGGAAATTTCGATAATAAACAATTTGCTAATATTTTACTAATAAAGTAAAATCATCGAATCGCCTGTATAGTTTGTTTTTAATCGAAATGGCATGGAACGTATAAGATACTAGCTGTCGCTCGCGACTCCGTCCGCGCGGGATTAAAAATAAATGTTGACCGATTCTCAGACCTACTCAACATGCTCACAAAATTTTTTGAGAATCGGTCAAGCCGTTTCGGAGGAGTATGGGAACGAACATTGTGACACGAGAATTTTATATATAAGATATAATCGACATTTATATTAGCATTTGACAATTATTGTTCTTTTTAGCAAACGTATTAATAGTGGAAATATAAGAACAGTCTTTAATGTTTTTAAAATAGATATATTTGTTACGTTACTTTTAAAAATAGTTTCCCTCGTGTTTAGCTCCTGACCTACATGTAGTCTCCGCCGCATTGCTGTCGTTTTTAACAAAGATTTACAAAACGAAATCGAATGAAAAACAATCTCAAAGAACAATAAGAGAATAACAATTTCAGAAACCGGTATATTTATTAAACGCGAGAACGAATGAAACAGAATACTAATTTATAAAAAATTAAGTTATTGTATTCAAATTTGTATGTAATAAAAATAACAAAAAACGAAACATCTTCTAAGATCCATCTTCATCTTTCACCAACTCAAAGGCCGGCAACGCATCTGCGGTTCCTCTGGTATTGCTGATGTTTGCCCCCTTCTTTTATAAAAAAAGAGAAAACATCTTTTTTTTTCAGTTGGCACTCCAATGGAGATAGAAAGAAACTTGGAACCTACTGATGAGGAAGTGGATGCGGTACACGCAGAGTTCACAAGAAGATTGATAGAATTATTTGAATCTGAGAAGTCTAAATACTTGAAGGATTATAAAAACAAAACTCTTGTTATAACATAGAAAGAACTCAAATTATTTTACTTTACAGAGTACAAGGTTCTGCTATACACATAATTTTGCATTTATAAAATATCTACTTCATCATCAGCTCGGTATCCCCACCGAGGGGCTCGGAGCTTACCATAAGTTAGGGGTGACTGCGCCATAGTCGACCGCACTGGCCCAATGGGGGTTGGTTGACTTCACACATATCTTTGAATTTATTTACGATGTTTTCCTTCACCGTAAGAACTTAAGATAAATGTACATGTCGGGATTCGAACCCAGGACCTGCAGATTGCAAGTCAAGTGCTTAACCCCTAAGCTACCGACGCTCAATCCATTGCTCCAATATCTACTTAGTTAACTAAAAAGTTATTTAGTAACAGTTAAGTTGAATACATTTTTTAAAGATTTTGTTTCTTGCCAAAATTATAACATGGGTGAGTGATACATAAACACGGCTAAACTCTCACGTATATACGTCCGGTGGCGGCACCGACTAGTGTAGAGCCCATCGGGGGCCCTTCATCAGGATCAGGACGCTCAGTGACCGACGGGCCGCGTCCGCGAAATAATACCAGTACCACGCATCCTGATATAATATCTTCAATTAAACAAAAAATTTCGTTATGATCCTGTTTTTGATTTGTTCATTTTTTTACATGAAGTATTGCATAATTTAGTGTATGGATGTAAATAGTCATAAGTAGTACAACATTCTAGAATTGTAGTAATAATAATACAGGGGGTTCAATATTACATAGTTGTAAATATGTGATTTTTTTTTATTTTACTGTTATTAATTGCATGGATTATGATGCTCAATGTATGGATAACATTAGTAATATATTTAATTATGTTTGTAGAAGACTATAAACATTTTAGCATAATTTTTTATATTTAAATTATAAAAGAGTGGCACATAAATAGGAAAGCTATGCATAAATTTATATCACGGGTAAATAGGTTAGAAGTCCTATATAAATTTTCAATTGCAAATATTATAGTTTTTTGTAACTTATTGTTATTTTTCTTTAATAAATTCAATTATTTTTATTAGTGTTTTATTTTCTATATTACCAATATTATAAATGCCTATGTTTGGTTTAGATTGACGGTTGTATGTTACAAGGTATCTCCAGAAAGGCTCCATTGATATCACTAAAATTTAGCCAAGATCTGGAATAATCTGGAAGGACGCATAGACTAATAAGTTTTTTTTTTATTTCGGCATGGATGCAGTCGCGTTAAATTAAGTACGACATTTTTTGTACCTTTTACCTTCCTCCCCTTTTCAGTGACAAGGGAATAATTAAAATAAAACAATTAAATTTATTTTACTATTTTTATGTATTTTAACATATTTACATTATATTTACAATATTCCTTCTGCTTTGACGAAACAAAATCTTATAGATTAAAAAAAAGTTAGTCATTGGAAAATCGATGTCGAGTTTTATAGTATAGGTCAAAATTACAGAAACTGCTACTTAAGAAAGCGATGTGGAGTTAAGGAATATTAAGTCAAAGAAATTAATTAAATTGTAGCTTAAATGAAATCATTTATGTTTTAAGAATCGGAAATTATGAGATAACATTATACTATTACAGGTCGAAGTTTAAAAAGTTATATAACTTTTTAATCTTTGATCTTAAAAAGTAGCACGTACAAAAACACGCAAGAAAAATAATTCCAGTCAAGCAAGCAAAAAAAATTAGAAAAATGGATTATCAAATCTAATTAAAAAACCATTTTATTGACGTAAAATAGAAATATCTGTCGTCATGAAAATTATCTTTTTCAATTTTACTAACTATTTAAGTTAAAAATAATAGGCGCAGTTGACATATAATGGCAATTATTGTGCCATAAATAATAAACGATAAAAAAACATAAAATTATCAAATGGAAACAATCATACTCTATGAAACACGATTTTTATTATCTGAATAGTTTCAAAATATTCATGATTAATTGAAATTAAAAATAAATATTATATTGTTAATATTATTTTCTTTTTAAATAACGTTAAGTACTTACTGTTGATAAATTAAGTGTATCCATAGCCCGTTACGCAATAAAGAACAATCCAATAATTAAAAAAAAAATGAAACCATAAACTTTCAATCATTGAAAACATAACAAACTGTTAAATAAACAACAAAAGATTTTCTTAATTAAAAATCGTAACGGAATATGATTACAACAAAACTACAGATAATTCTAAAACTTCTAACGAAGTAAAAGTTTGTTCCCAAATAACAAATAGTTGTCACAAAGTCAGATGTCTTCATCTGAATCACTGAATGTCTGAACAAGTTTTGTGCACGAAATCATGTTTAAAACAAAATTATTTTACACTCGACCTTATGGTCAGAGTCTCAATTTAGTCTTTGGTTTAATCCCATCACGCCTGTTTTGGATGTTGTGTGGTCGAAGGTGCAGCAGGCTTGAAACACTGCAGCAAGAAGGCGGTATACATTACGAACGCCACAGAGAGCGCTATCAGTGCGTACATAAATATATTCAGTTCTGGTTGTCGGAACCGATTCTTTCGCAGCCATTCCAATACTTCGATCTCAGACATTATATCTCCTGCAACAAAATATCAAAAGCAACTAAAACAGAAGTGTCGGGCTTTAAAGACAGAGGAAGACCGAAGAAGGTATGGGTAGATTGTGTGAAAGAGGTTATGCGTATAAAGATATGACGGTTGATAGAAATGTATGGAAGATACTATGCAGACCTTCCTTAAGGCAGGAAGATGATGAAAATCTGAAAATAATTCTATAACTACCAATTCATAGTGGACTTTACTTACCTCTGTATATACTCGGGAACCGCTTTCTAAAGTACACAATAGCCGGTAATTTTGTTACTCCCCATTTACGGGCGTATCGTGGATCTTGCATTTTTACAAATGTTATATCCAAATTATCCGTCTCACTATCAATGTTTTCTAATTTATCCAAAACTGCTCTACTCTCCATTGATTTTTCATCTAAAATAAGGAAGATTTGAGTTACTTCTCAGATAAAATAACATTCAATACAATGATTTTGATACTTACAGAAATAAACAGCTAAAAATTCGTTCTCTTCCAAAAGTTTGTCTAACATTTTTCTGTTAACCTCCTCGATTTCATTTTTGATTTCAAAAACGTCTTGAGAAGTCAGCCATTGCAGTACTTTGTCCACATGATGCAAATCTCCGTCATACAACATTGGTACACGTTTACGGAAATACACTAACGATGGAATATTAACGACATTATGTTTCGCTGCAGCTTCTACGCTTGCTATCTTCACGAAATCAATACCATACTGATCCACTTCTCCGTCAATTTGTTCTAATGCTTCAAGTATTTCTTCACATTCCGGACAATCTTCGTCATCATCTAAAATTAAATTTATTAATCAAACTGAAATGTAAAGAAACTATGAACCAAATATTTTAAATTGATGTTTCTTGTACTTACAGAAAAAGACGACAAGCAAATGTGATTGATAAAGTAATCTTTCGAGCATTCTTTCGTTTACTGATTCAATTTCATCCGCTAATTCACGATTGTCATCATCTATAAGCCATTCTAATATCGATTCTTCGTTCTGCAAATCACCTTCAAATAGTAGCGGGTTTCCGTTTCTGTCAAATACAAAAACAAAAAAAGAATTATACCAAAAGTTTACACACTCGTATTACGACCAAACAAAAGATAGGCGTGAAGTGGAACCAATTCCGCGTTTCGTCTGATGAGTGTTTCCCCTTTCCTTATTAGCAAAAGGTGGAGAGGGGAAATGGATTTAACGCAGAACAGGACGTATAGGAAGAGAACGTTCTTTTCTGTTCGTCTCCTCCTCCTCTCCTCCGTTGATTAAAGGTAGACATCGCGTCTGCAATCATGGATGACTATGGGCAGCGATCGCTTCGCTTTTCGGCAACCAGATAGCCGCTGGTAGATGCCAACTAATAAAGCAGTTATTTTGGTTTATTTCATTAGTTAAGCTGTACCTAAAGTAAACCATAGCTGGGAACGTTTTAATGGAATATCGCTTAGCAAGCTGCGGATCTTGGATCTTCACCATATGAATACCATACACATCACATTCGTCATCTATCTTCTCCAAACCTTCAAGTATGTGGTCACAAATATGACAATTTAATTTATCTGAAAAAGAAAAGAAGCTAATCAGTTTAATTATTTATGGAGTATGTTCGAAATTTGAAAATATTTTATTCTATTACAGAAATAAACCGCCAAATATTGTGTTTCTTCAACCATTTTCTCTAACATCACTCTGGTTATTAGTTCTATACGGTCTTCCGTTTTCTGAGTTATCAACCACTGGAGAACTTCCTCTTCTTCAGCTAAAGATCCTTCGTAGACATTTGGTATATTATGCTCGAAGTATACTAAGACTGGAAAATCGGTTACACCATATTGTTCCGCAATTGAATAGTCTTGAGTCTTAACAAACTTTATCTCATGTCTGTCACAATCGTCATCTATATTCTCTAGTTCTTCCAATATTCCTGTACATTGCTCGCAATCAACTCCATCTGTAATTATCATAACCTCAACTTGAACTTTAAACTCTTAACTTTTATAAGATGAAAAAATTGAAACAAAACTATTCTATTCTACGTCTAAATATGAATTCATATCGAAGATATTAAAAAAACAAGCTATGTAGTAACTAAACTACACTAATAAGACAATCACAATAATTCAATAAACCACACGGGGATGGAAAATATTCGCAGGTATAGAATAATGTTTATGAATCGAGTGCATTTTATTTCTGGTATCAATGTATGTGAAAACGTGCCTCATGCTTTTAAACAAAACCAGGATATATATGGACTGAAGGAAATAAGGGATAGTACCCTCTAGTTCCTGTCCTTCCTCCTCATCGTGGCCTCTGTCTTTTTTTCTGACGGTCTTTTGCATTGCTTTCAAATTGCATATTTCGCATAATGTTTTATTCCCTATTAAGAATACATATATCTGTTACTAATTTTAGTTTTACGTTACTTTTAATTACCTGTTAAATATCTACTAATAACCAAAATAACTGAAACAGAATCAAACTGAAGAAAGAATGAAAGAATAATAGAAAGAAAGTATAAGGAAGATTATAAAAAAGTGTTAGAATTGAACCAAGATCAACTTACAAAAGTATACAGCCACGGACACCGATTCCTCTATCAAGTCCATCAAATCTTTTCCTTCTAGAGCTTCAATTATATCACCAGCTGGATTTTTCTGTGTCAGCAACCAACTAAGCAGTTGTTGTTCATCATATAAATCACCTGGAAACAAGTTTTAAAAAATGGAAACGAACAAAACGAAAGATCAGATAGTTGTTAAATCAATAATAATATTTGTAAAGAACGCTAGGAGGATTCGATTGGTGTCGTAGAGTCAGCTCAGCCAGAAAAACCTTTTCTACGTATACATACAGATAAAGTTCTACATACCAGCATAAATAACAGGTTCTTTAGATCCCAACTTGAAAAATAAGACAGCCGGTAAAGCGAACACCCCGTATTCTTTGGCCATTTGCCTGTCATCGATTTTGACGAAATTAATACCAGCTCCGTCCGCGTCATCATCTATGTGTTCGATCTCCGCCAACACTCTGGGGCATTGTTTGCAGTCATTACTGTCTAAAACATATAATAAGTGAAATACGACTTCAATTTTACAAAATACATATTGGAAAAAGTCCTTTTTCACTGTAAGTTTGATATTTATAAAAGTGGACATTGAAATGAAAACTCACAAAAGAATACGGCTACAAAATCAGATGTTTGTCTTATTTTTTGAAACATCTTTCTATTGACTTTCTCAATGTGGTCTGTTAGTTCCATGTTCTCTGGATTGGTCAGCCAGTCTAATATTTCTTCTTCGTCATCTATGTCGCCATCGTAATTAATATATTTAGTCTTCCTAAAGTACGTGATGCCTGGTGGATTGCGGAAACCATACTTCTTAGCCATCAGACGGTCACTGCACTTTACTATTTTTATTCCATATTCTGATGCTTCATCATCAATTAATTCCACATGTCTTAATACTCTTGGACTTCCCGGATCATCATCTCTGTCTGTAAATATAAAATATTTTAGTTTACGAAAAAAACCTTGTGTTTCAGATTAGATTAGATTTAAACTTACAAAATACAACAGCCAGAAACTCTTTAGTTTCAATATATTTGAACAATTCATCTCTATCTATTTCTTCAATCGACTCATCTTCCTTTTGTTTGATCATCCAATCGAGTACTTCAGACTCGTCCAATAGATTACCTACAATATTTAAAATTACTTCAATGCTGAAATGTTCATTAAATACAACATAGATAATTAAGAAACCACATCCATTTGATCTAATTAAAACTTACCAGTTACATCCAAAAATAGGCATGCGTACAACTACCATGCCGACATCATTCGTGTGTGAAATGAGCAATAATAAATACAATAATAGAAAATTGTATTTATTTAACAAAAAAAGATATTATATCAGCGCCGTTATAACATTGTAACAGTAAAATAAAACATACATGCTTAATTTCGATCAATCAATACAACCTTTTATATGTTTCACAACGCCAGCCCTATTAGAGACTAAACTAGCGGGTTAAGTAGTCTGTGCATCATTTAAATATATTTAAAGACAAACTAAATAACTGAAACTTTAATTATTGACTAGAATATCGTCAATTTTTGGTATTTTTTCACACAATTGGTGGTGTTTGTCGTTTACATTTTAAAGTTATTTTTTTAAATGTCTAGTAATTGTATTTATTTCGAATTTATAACAAAATAATGAGAATGAAAAGACTAGAAAACTATATGAACATGAAATACTTAAAACAATAAGTCTTCCAAGATGATACGGCAATATGCATACAAATAGAAATGCCTATGTTTGATGTTTCACTTCACCTTCCAGCACTAAATATTGGAATTCAAATAAAGTCGAATAACGATTTGTACACCTTCTTAGAGTTCTAAAATTCCAACATTTAGCACCATTGAGCTCCTTATCAAGAAATAAAATCAAAACATAATACTTATTAATTTTTCAATTTCAATGATGTTAACCTCAATTAAAAATATATTAGCTGATAGAATGAAGAAATTTTGTAATTTTTTTTTTGTCTAACTTGGTGAAATAGTTCGTGTACAGTATTAATACAACATACAAATATGTTAGATGTTGATAAGGTCCAAGAGATACGAATTCACAAATATTAAAAGATGAATTATTAATCAATGATTGAAATCTGAAAACATCAAGCAAATGTGAAATTGAATCTTGAATTGAGGTAAAAACGTTCGTCTCCTCTTGATACCTTACAATAGTTCATCCGGTAACAACATTTTAAATACGGATCTAACAATAAAAGTTTACCACCACCAAATATTGTCAGAGCCGAATAAACCTTTTTTCCCTTTAGTCGGCCTGTCGGGCTTCGCTAGAGCTTTGCCCTTGTTCCCCTTGCTCGGTCTCTCCAAGGCCGGTTGTTTCTTGTCTAGCTTCTTCGGTGAGACCTTGGTTGGCGTCGCCTTCGCCACTTTTGTCGGACTTTTTACTTTGGTCGGACAGCACTGGTAAGGTTCGTATGTCATTTTAGGGACAGCCGGTTTCGCTCCCAATCCAATGTAGAAACAGCGATCGCCTGCAGTCAGTAAAAATTTGTTGTTTATAACCCGTAAAATTGGAAAAACACAGTTACAGTTAACTTTAGAGTTAATACTGTGCAAATTTGTAATTTATGCGCCTATTTGTTATGCGCGCTATTAATTCTAAATATTATGTTAGTATAAGAACTAAAACATTTAATTCGGCAAGCGCTCGCGAATGACTGCAGGCGATAGCTACTTAGGACCCATGCGGGTTCTTTTGTTCGACCATGCAGATGTGTGACTGGGATACGTCGGTGCCTCCGTGCAGGGTCAGCTCTCAGGGTCCAATACTACCTATTTACCTGTTAAAATTTGTTTAATTCTACCGAAATAACTGTAATAATTGTTGTCATCCTCTTCACCATCTCCGTCAGTGCTGACTCTGGTGTCAGTCTCATCGTCATCTTCTTCACTTTCGTCTTCATCATCATCGTCATCATCATCACCATTGTTATCGTCGTCATCGTCATCATATTCATCCGCAATATCGGCGTCATTTTCATTATCATCGTCGTCGTCGTCGTCATCATCATCATCGTCGTCGTCGTTATCATCATCATCGTCGTCGTCATCATCATCGTCGTCGTCATCATCATCGTCGTCGTCATCGTCATCGTCGTCGTCATCATCATCGTCGTCGTCATCATCATCATCGTCGTCGACATCATCATCATCGTCTTGATCTTTGCGGTTTATTTTATGACCTTTAAATTTTGGTTGCAACTTTAGCTTTGGTTTAAGCTTTTCTGGTGTCAATTGTGACTCTTTCCGCGTGTTCATCTTAATGACATTCAAGTTCCGTTTACTTCTTTTGAGACCTGAGGCTTTATCACCATCTGCATTGGCCATTGTTTTAGTATTAGTATTATATCTTTTTCGGTGGCTATCTTCACCTGCAGGCATTAGTAACTGTCATGCAAAATGACGTAGCTCAAACATTCAGTAATAAAGGCTTAAAATATTATTTTATTTGTACAAACATAAAGAATGATGTCATGCATATTGTTGGAAACGACGATATAAGACTTAAATAATTTGTATTTCATAAATATCAAAATAATAATTTTTAAAATGGATGTGGAATCTTACTTTTTTGATCTACTAGCCACTGCAGAACCTTATTTTCGTTCTTTAAATCACCTATAAACAGGATAAAATCTATATTACAATCCTAACATAATGTTGGCAAAAATATATTTTTGTTAATATCGGCTTAAAAATTATAATATCAATTTTGTTTATATAATTCTAGAAAACAAGAAAGATAACACTAAAATATCTCGTAACTTAAAATACATACGTTTTGAGAAGGCATCTTCTGATTCATAAAATAATTACAATTACCGCGTAGTAAAAATTCCATAAAAAAATACAAACACACAAATTCACTTACCGTCATACATTATAGGTACACCTGTTTCATAGTAAACCAAAGCAGGGAAACTGAAAATACCAATATCTGATGCCAATTTAGAATCTTTAGATTTGACAAACTGAATACCGTGTTTGTCTGTATCATCATCAATCGTCTCTAATTCCTCTAGTATATCGTCGCAAGTGTCACAATCTTCACTATCTGGAAAAAGATGGACCAATAAATATTATTTAAGGAGAACCACAAATCCACAAACTCAAATTGTAGCCGCGACATCTTGCGCGCGGAGAAAAATAAGACATAATTAGTAGCCTATACGTTCTTCCAGGATATGTTCTATATATAAGCCAAATTTCAGCAAGATCCATTTAGCCTTTCCGGAGATACCTTCAAACAAACATCCATCCTACCATCCATCCATCCATCTAAACAGTTATAATATTAATAAGATTACAATATGTTAAAAAAATAGAAAAACAAAATAAAACTTACAAAAGAATACTGCAAGATGTTCAACATCGTCAATCAGGTCTTTGAGTGTTTTCCTGTCAACGTTTTCAATAACGTCTGGTTGGGAATCGTGCAGTTCCAGTACCCACTTCAATATAGCATCTTCATGCATTAAATCACCTTCGTAGATTGTCCTGAATTTATGGCGATAGAAAGCTAAAGCTGGCAATTCCGACAGATCATATTCTTTGTCCACACCTTCGTCTGATGTCTTAATAAAATCAATATTCTTCTCTTCACATTCATCGTCGATGTTCTCTAATTCACTTAATATTTTTTGAGATTTCTTGTCACCCTCTTTATCTATAAATATTTTATAATTATAGTCACATTCAAATCAAATAGTATCTAGAATAATGGTATGTATACTCACAGAAGAAGACTACCACATGATCGTTCTCTTCCAAAATTTTCTCTAACATTCTAGAGTTGACTTCCTCAATTTTTCCAGGAATTTCAAGTGTATTTTCATCAGTAAGCCAAGCTAATACTTCATCTTCATCTTCAATATCACCTGGAAATTTAATTACAATTTATAAATGATGTTAATATTTCTTTATAGTACAAATACTAGATATATCATTGTAATATTATTTACCTTTATAAATAAGAGGGTCTTTATTCCTGAAGAAAACAAGTGTGGGGAAAGTCTTGATGCCGTACTTTTTAGCTAACGCGATATCTTCAGTTGTAACAAATATTATACCAGTTTCATCTAATTCATCGTCTATATTTTCTAATTCGTCCAAAATGTTATCACATTCTTCACCTTCTTCACATTTGCCACCTGGAATAAAAAAACACGCCATTAAAATTTTTTGTAATTATAAAATTTTTGCATTTGGGTGTCAATGCGTCAATCTTTGTAAAGATATGAGATGATCACTTACTGAAATAGACAACAACATATTCATGTTCCTCAATTAATTCTGTTAAAATTTCGTCAGTAACTTCTTCGATAGTTGCACTGTTCTTTTGTTCAATAAGCCATTCCAGCACTTCATCTTCATTCATAAGGTCACCTTCATAGATTGCAGGAATATTTTCTTCGAAGTAAACTAAAGTTGGTAAATGATCTATTCCATATTGCTTGGCTTCAGCGTCATTATCCATTCTTACTATTACAATACCTTCCTTTTCCAATTCGTCATCGATGTTTTCTAATTCATTTAAGATTCTGATATCTTGCTTATCGTCTTTGTCGTCTGTAATTATGTAAAGATTACTAAATAGTAGCCTTAAAAGTCAAGATGGAATAATAGTAAATTATAATAAATACTTACAAAATATCACAGCTAAGTATGGCGTACTTTCTATTAATTTGTCCATCATTTCATCGGTTACCTCTGGGATTTCACTATGACGTTTCTGGTGGAGCAACCATCCTAATAGTTCATCTTCCTTCATTAAATCACCTTCGTAAATATGTGGTATTCCTTTCTCGAAAAACACCATTGTTGGTATATTCTCAATTCCATACTCTTTGGCTTCTTTGTCGTCGTCTATCTTAACAAATGCGATGTCATTCTGGTCACATTCATCGTCAATGTTTTCAAGTTCTGCTAATATTTTCTGGCTCTTTTTCTGGTCCTTGTCATCTGAAAATTTTTCAGAAATCTGTATTTTATTTTATGTCTGTTTTAAAAAATTATTAACTAAGGTTCAATGGTTAGAGCTACAATTTACGCCAATATGGAGTGTTGTGTTTGTACTGTGAATAAAATAAATTGTAAATAGTGCTACTTACAGAAAAGTACGGCAACGTAGGGCATTTTCTCAATTATGAGGTCAAGCATTTCATCGGTAATGTCTTCAATTTCATCGCTTTCAGCTTGGTGTCTGAGCCAATCAAGTACTTTCTCTTCTTCTTCTAGATTACCTTCGTAAAATGTAGGAATACCTTTCTCGAAGTATAATAGTGTAGGCACTTTTTCAATACCATATTCTTTAGCTTCGTCATCGTTGTCAATTTTAACAAATGCTATTCCAAGTTGATCACATTCATCGTCAATATTTTCTAGTTCGTTAAGGACTTTTTGGGATTTACGATCATTATTGTCATCTGTAAATATTAACGTGTAAGTTAAAAATTATAATATTCCTTCATCCAATTATGTATTGTCAGGAAGAAAATCCGACTGTGTGCCGGTGTACTGGCACAATACTAGCCTTACTAAAATGTCGAAGTCTATGTTCCCTCACTAATCATTCTGACACTTGACTTTAGCAATGTAAGCGCGCTAAAGGATTGTAATTAATAATGTTTGAAATTATTTAAATAAAATAATACTTACAAAACAACACTGCTACGGTTTTTCCATCTTTGATCAATCGATCAAGCATTTCGTCGGTAACATCTTCGATTTCATCTTTTTCTAGTTGATCCACAAGCCATTCAAGCATTTCTTCTTCATTTTCGAGATCGCCTACGCAGAAAGTATTTATTTTTAGTGACATCAAATTTAACGAGCTAAGGAGACTACAAAATTAGGCCGAACATGTCGTCGAGTTAAATAGCTATAGAGAGATATTTTACCGTCATAAACATTAGGTATCTGCTTTTCAAAGTAAACGATAGCTGGAAGATTGTCAATGCCGAATTCTATAGCGGCTTTCTTATCATCAATCTTAACAAACTGAATTCCGTGACGGTCGCAATCATCATCAATTTTTTCAAGCTCTCCTAATACTGTCATCGATTCTTCATCACCATGATCGTCTGAAACAGTACGAGTTATTTTAAAAACATTAAATGGTTTTTCTATGGTTGTTTTGAATAGAATTTAAGAAAAATAATTGTACTTACAAAACAAAACGACGAGGTTGTCTACGTTCCCAATTAGTGTATTAAGCGTTTTGGCTGTGACGTCCTCAATAACGTCCTCCTCATCTCCAGTCGACTTGTTCGCTATCAGCCACTCTAACACATCTTCCTCTCTGCTTAGTTCACCTTAAATATATAGATATTAAAATTAACATTAATTAATCATCATTAGAGTTTATATTACGCCCACTTTTAATTATAAGACTGATGACGGTAACATAATAAAACTTGAACCTGTTATCTAAACATTTATGACGTTTATTATGCTATAAAGAAAGCATTTGATTGTAATTTAATTTCCTGACATGTGGAACGTCAGCATATAATGAGTCACACACCTTCGTAGATAATAGGTATTTGATGCCTGTAGTATACTAATCTTGGCAATTCTCCAAGACTGTACTCTTCGGCGAGCTCCTCATCGTGGATCTTCACGAAGCCGATTCCGAGCTGGTCGGCTTCGTCGTCGATGTTCTCCAGCTCCTGTAGAGCCTTAGCGCACTTCTTGCATTCCGGTTTATCTGAAACGTACCGCATTAACGTCTAATATAGTTAGAAACGAACCAAATTTTGATCCTACTTCCTCTCATGCTTCGTAAGGATTTGTGGCAGTGCAGGTAAGCGCAATGCTCAGTGAATTGAGTGCGTTAAAAGAAAGTTAATTGAGTGTAAACACAATAGACCTCGTGTGTCGGGCTGATGTGATCTTTAAACTTTTGTACGGTACGTCTACTTTAACTTATCGTACATGACAATAAAAGCAGGAGATGTGCTCGGTGCTCGGAATTTGGGTATTCATTGAATGTGCATACCAACCTAAATTCACGGGGTTTGCTAGAAATCCGCTAAATAAACTAATCTACTTCAATTTCTAACATAGCAACAGTGACTGGTGTATCGTTTGTTCGAATTACAGAATGTGTGTCGGTATAGTTTCTACGCAGACAACTTTCACAAATAGCATGCTCCTGTTTCTATACTGGCTATTTCCTATCATGAAATATTAGGTCAAGGTCAACAAATTTTCTTCATTTATTATAATTCTGAACTGGAAACTTGTACAATAGGGATATAGTTAAACAAGTAATTAAATTTTTGTTATCTCATCTCATTTAATTTACCGATTAGAATGTAGGGACGACGTGTTCGTGACAAGTCGGTCCGTCAATCCGAGCTGGCTGGCGAGACAGAAATAGGACGGCAAAAATAACTCGCCGCACGGCCAGATAATGCTAACGCGATTTTGATTCTAACCTTCTCCTACAACGGATGGACATGCATTGCTTTGAAGGAACATATCAAAGAAAAGACAGAACAGCGATAGGCCAAAAGATAATATAGATGACAAACAATGAATTGACGAAGAAGCAATTTTGCAGTGCTCGTGTCTACTTTTATTTGTTAAGGCATTACGATTCCGATTTCTTGACTAATATATCAATGAATATCTATAGACAGTGTCGCAGTGTCGCCTTGGCCTCCGAGCTAAGCACTCAGATATAATTGTTCACCAAATTCCCCGTTTTCAATGCTCCTTCAGTAGACAATTCTATAAATTCTTGAAACTCCTCAATTTATTCTTCAATGCAAGCGAAAAGCGGATCCGCACTAAAATTTAAGTATCTAGTCTAGTAAGCCAGCAGCTACAGCAACACCGACATTAAAATTCATGCCGCGAGCTGAAAACCTTACTTACTGAGCAGCGGCCCGCATTTACTGAGATCGGGACCTACGTCAAAAACACAGTCAAACACACGGCACGATTATTTTCTTACAAACAGTGTCGTCTACATTTCAGTTAAGCCAACAGAGAAGAATAACTACTCGATTACTAGAATCTTACAGTACTTTTTATTTTGTTAGTTTAGAAAATAGCTCAAATTTTACCACAATAGCTGATGATCTGGTTAAAGTACAAGAAAACCCGAGAATATGTGTTCAATACTCACAAAATAGAACGGCTACGTATTCTGTTTCTTCTATGATTTTTTCTAGAATTTTCTGATTTACTTCTTCTATCCGGTCAGGGAGATCCATTGCTTCTAAGCTCGTCAGGAAATCCAGGACACTCTCTTCGTCCATGAGATCTCCTAAGGTATAATCGAATTTAAGTTTATAATTAATACCAATTTAACACAATCACTTATTCTTTTAAATTCAAATGTTTTTATATATACGATATTCTGTTTAGTTTTTAAGTTTTAGTGACATAACTGTTCAAATAAGAAATTAAATTTTTAAATCATTGCCAAGTTCTTGGTTTAGGCAAATCATTGTGAAGAAGCCAAATACGCAGGAAAAAAATTGAACAATTAGGTGTAAAAGTAAAAATTTGACCTTCGTAAATAATCGGCTCCTTCTCACGGAAGTACGTGAGGGCGGGGAATTTCGTGATGCCATATTGCTTTGCGAGTCTCTTGTCGTTGATCTTGACAAAGTCGACGCCGAAAGTGTCCGTGTCGTCATCGATCTTCTCTAGCTCTTCCAGTACTTTGTCACAAGTTACGCAGCTTCTGGCATCTGTTGACATAAATTAATCTTCGTCATAAACATTTTCTTTACTTTGCCTCTCTCTACGTGTGATTGGCACATCACGTTTTCATCAGATAGATCGATCTATGTAACATTAATTTCAGCCACACCTTCTTAATCATTTCATCTTTTCCTTAATCCATCTATCACTTACCGTGAGTTTCTGAGTCCAAAATTCGTGTTTAAAACAGATTTTTATCTCTATTTACTCAAAGATAATGACAGGGATGACGATATGTTTTATACAAATACTCTGATCTCAGAAACCGACGGGTAATAGGGCTTGATACATTTGATTGAATTAAAGCACGGCGAAACTATTACATATTAGTGTAATTAAGCACGTACGAGTATCGTACAATAAGAATCTTTTAAATTCACAAATAGCTGCTTAAATATTGTACTTCAATTGATTGCAAGTAAAATGCCTATGTATTTTAACCTTGTGTCTATTCCATTTGTTTGCAATCTTTTTCCGCAAATATCTTCTCTCAGACACCGACGTCATTACGTAGAGAATTATTTCCGAAGCTCCAACAGACGCACTACATACCAAGTTAAACTAAAATGTATGCAATCGACAAATAATTGTTTAATACAGTTTCCAAGATAAATTGCTTAGGTACAGCTACAGTTAATATTATTTCAATATTTTCAAGGCTCTCTGTGTTATTTTATAAGAACTAAAGAATCTGATTCAACTCATCTTGATGGGAAAAGTTCCCGGTAAAAAGAGTGTTGGTCGCAGAAAAAAGTCCTGGTTGCGCAACATCCGAGAGTGGACAGGGGTTGCGAGTGCCGCCCAACTTTTTCGCCTCGCAAGAGACAAAGGAAAATATGGAGAACTGATCGCCAACCTTCGCTAGTCGGAGAGGCACCTCAAGAAGAAGAAGAAAGAATTGTTAAGGACCGGGCACTGTGGCAATCGATGGGGGAGGCCTACGTCCAGCAATGGACAAGTTTAGGTTGAGTATGGTAATGATGATGAAGGAATTGTCTCGCTATTACAGATAATATACTATTTTATATAAAGGCCATGAATAGACGTCGCTATGAACACGGAAGATTGCTACAACTACGAGGCTAGGAATGAAGGCAACAAAAACCACTCTATTAAATGAAATTAAATTCAAACTAAACTTAAACCACCAAAATTAAGTGGTGATAATTAATCGATTTTAATTCTCAAATATCTACAAATATTATCAATTAAAACATAATTTAATGACATTGAACGAACCACAACCGACAAGGATTCCGGTGGAGCAACTTACAATGTTCTCTTGTGTGTTATTCTTTATTAATTTACTAGAATTTATATTAAGTAATTGTAATAATAATTTAATTTATATATTTGAGTGAAACATAAACTCGTTGCGAATGTAAATAGTCATATGTGTGTAGGATTTACGAGCTACGGTCACATCGCGGTCCATACTGCGGCCGCGCGGAAAATTAACGGCTTGCAACGCTTTGCATAACCTCAAACTTCGAAAATAAACGAATTACTCCGTTTACAATATCGCTTTTAATTATTACTATCTAGTTAAATATATTTATCAGCATAAGAATACGTATAAGAACTAAATTATAGTTTTTTAGTAGGCAGAGGAATTGCATCGCATGTTGCCTATCAATACCTGTAATAATCCCTAATCAAACTAAAAAAGGAACCTAGATTAAGGGTTTCATACAAGTTTTTCGTTTAATAAAAAGACGATTTTAGAAATGTCTTTATTTTTGTGTTTTTGATGAGGTTTAGTTTGACAATCGAAACCTATGAAGTATGGGATTATTTTTGTTTGACGATAAATGTCATACTTAATGGACGGGTGTCATAGTATCGGACCGTACACGCATAATGAACTATGAACTATTGAGAATAATTTAGATATTTTGTTACTTTTCGTATTTATTAAAGTTATTTAGCTATTTTTATAAATAATATCGCACAATGAACTAAAAAATCATTTGACACCGTTTTATTGCTTGTCAAAACCTTAATTTATTTATTCACTTTTGAAGAATGAAATAGGAATAGAAAGATATAATATTTATATTGTTATTCAAAAGCAATAATCACGATATTTTCAATTGCAACATAATCCTAACACTTACCCAGTACTGAACTGGAATGTCTTGATTCACTGTCCGTTTTAGTTTTCTTACACAATTACAAGATCAAAAAGTGTTGCTATATTTCTTTGAAATATGAACACTAAAATACACATGTCCGTGAACAAAAATATCAAATAGCTTAAAATTATGATAAATTATATGTATTATGTTATTTATCACATAACTCAATATGGTTTTTTATTTAAAAAAAATCTTCTATTTACTGCTAAGAGTAAAAATCAATGTCACATCTCAAAATTTTATTTTATTTACTGGATACTAGCTATTGCCCGCGAGTCCGTCCGCGTGGAATTAAAAAAAAAAAAGTACCTTACGTGTTCTTTCAGAACACACTACAACTATGCCACATTTTAGCGAGATTCATGCAGCCATTTTGGAGATACCTTCTAACATCCATCCATCCATCCATCTATCCAAACATTTGCTAAATGCGAGTATTAGTAAGACACATACAAATGCAGACAATATGCTCTGGTAGATACGAATGTTTCGCCAACAGTATTTCAGGATGTCAAAATGCTCGATTTGTTCTATTGACAGTTCATAAATAAATAAACAAATGTATATCTATGGTCGGTATTATCTTAGGCTATTTAAAAAAATGTAATTTTGCATAGATACCTCTGGGTAGCGAGGTTACGCGAGTATATAGATATAGAGTGTACAATTATAAACAAACACCGCATTGCGCGGGAGTATGCGCGCTGCAATTGTTTCGTAACGAAAAGGGCACATTCATACACACCGGGGAAGAGAGGTGAGCAGATTATTCAAATTAAAATCAAATGAAAGTGAGCTTTATTCCATTGAAACAAGGTTTATTTTAGTTTCCACCACTATTGTTACCAAGGGCAAGCGTAAAATAAAATACGTGATATTCAACATTGTTTCAATTATATAAAACTCGGGTAACAAACTGAACTGCTCTCCGCCACGGTGTGTACGTACCTTAATGGTGGGTTTCCACTGTCAAAACTATACGCACTAACATATTACCATCCCTTTCCGTCTTTTTAAAAACAGAGATATTAATATATTCGACGTAACAGAGGAAACCTACTGTAATAAGACCTAACGAAACAGACGAATTTAGACTGACAAGTTGATTTATGCGCGGAAATGAACTCTATCTTATAAATATTTTAGGTTCTATTTTAAAACGGGGATTAAATATTTGTATATATCAATAAATAAAGCTTTTACTAAATTGACTAAAATCAGAAACTACTATCTAAATTAAAGCTTTCATTCCTTATTGATTGATCAGGTTAAATTAAAGTATAATTTTATGTGTCCTTGCTTTCTGTACAGATAAGCATCAATATTATTTTGTTTCTTTTTATTCGACCTAAAATCGCTCTTATTTTAAATGAAATATATAATTTCCCATAACCGAGATGATTAATATGAATTAATTAAAATAGGATTGTTGTCGATCATCGTATTACGTGAATAGGAACGTAACAATCTGATTCACCAAAAATCAGCTGCCAATAAATTAATAGCTGCGTTACTAACGCCATTATAGATTTAAAAAAATGAGATTTACCGCTGTTATTACTCATAAAATAATTCGGTCGTAAGTTTTTTCTGCCGAAGCACCTGTAAAGATTTTATTTTATCTGTGGAAATAGTCGAATGGTGGAATACGAACTTTCCAACGGTCGACCACGTGACTTTATGACCGTTACGTCATTAGACTACATTATGGTATTTCTCGTGAAATGATCTAGTGTCAGTGATTAGACAGTGGGAAATAATAGACATTTATAAATGTCAGAATTCTTTGTTTTTGACTATCTATACATAACTATCTTAAATTGTGTTTTAAAATTACTTTTAAGTACGAAACTGAAACATTGGTTTGTCAATTTCCTTTTTTCCCTATTAACTACTATAGAGTATACCCACATTTGGAGAATAGTGCTCAAAGAAATCAGACATTCTTATTACTTATTACAGACAATAAATTTTCAGTTACCAAGCGAAAGAACTATAGTTTATTTTTAATAAATCGTACAGGAGTCCGTAAGATACGCCAAGGCTAATAAATCTCTACGGAATTAACACGAAACCTATTTCTACTTTAGTTTTTATTTTTAATTTTAGTTTTCTTCTCGCTTCTTGATTAATGCACGAACGGAAAATTAATTTTTGTTTTTTGTTGGAAAACCATAGATAAGTTGTTTTGACATTTTTGTGATTTACGCGGTATAGTCAAATAAACAGATTGCAAAATGTTCAAAGGATAGAATCGAAATTTCGTTGTTGTATATAAATATAATATTTTTAATTAATTAATGTCCATATTTTTAATTTTCTACCTTTCTTTCCGTTAATATTTGGCATATATAAATTAGGAATACGTAATATAAGTGTAAAAGTTGTTTGGAAAATCCTGAAAAGTGAGGATTTGATGCATGTATTTGGAGAGAAAGAGTTATGTAAATGACTGCAGCTAATAGTAAAGAATATTCTCTTAGCATCTGTTTGCAACAATGCTACAGTTATTTGGGTTAACTGCGTCGAAAATATTCTAAATCTAATGTAACAACCTACAAACGAATTTTCTTAAGCAAATTGAAGTAGTTACAATGAATAGATTGTGAAAATAATTGCCGCGTGTAAACCCTAAATGTCATGGCAGTACCTGGTGGCCTAATGTCAAATTTTCCCGCCAACATTGACGCCATGTTTGTCCTTGCTTTTATATATTTTTCCGTTAACCTCGCCCGCGCGATTTTTTACGTCCATTTTGTAGAGAAAAATGTCATGATTTTCATTAATTCGGTAACTAAATTGATAACGTGCGATGATTTTGGATGTTATCCAAACGCAACAGTTGTGTTGCGGAGCATTTTCGTAATTATGTCTTTTCTCTAAAACATTATACTGGCAACTGGCACTATTTTTAAAATACAAATCGTTTTAAATACCGGCAGGCGTTGTCAGATCAAACTAACATCGTATAACCAAATTCTGTAACTCGATTCACGTTGGAGATGCCTGAAGATTAACTTTGTAGTAAATCTTAAAAGATCTGGGAGTGGTAATATTTCTTTTTTTAAATTTTATAAAACTACCGCGTGAGGCCTATTTTAATCTGATCACGGATAATAAGATCACGACGTAGAAATGGCTTGTGGATTTTAAAGATTATGACTGTTTCTTTACTAGAACTTAAAGTATTTAGTAACATAAATGTTTTCTCAAAATTCTGAAGAATTTTTTAGTTAAAATAAGCCCACGATAATAAATTTAAGAATGAAATTAAAATATGAAAGTAACCAGTTAAAGTTTTCAACGGATCGTTGTATGTTATGTTCCTGATGATCTGCGCGGAATGTTTATGAAGTTTAATGTTTTGTTTATGTTTATTTTGACGTCGGACATTGATGTGAAGCTTTCAGAGCGACCGCCGCGTATATTAGTTATGAAGCTAGTTGTGAAGAGACCGTTCCAAACCGAGGGAGTATTGCAAACAGTACCGATGCGAAAGTTCATTAGACAAATGACCGTTTTGTCATTTTGACATTGATTAATTAAAAGTTTTCGCGTCTTGAATAATTACAGCGACGTCGTCTGTTCAAACGTTTCTTTGAATGAATACAAATACAAGGAGTACAATCGTGTACTGACTATAGCAACTTGACATTTAGTACTTAGACTACATAGAGACAGTCCCATCGTCAGACATCATCGGGTGACAGAGAGCGACGTGTCAATGGACACCATAAAACGTTGGCGACAAACGAAAATAGTCGAAATGCCAACACAACGTAAGAGAGATCTATTTCAGCGGAACAGTCGGCGGCGGCGACGCACTCCGTCTCCGCTATAGTTTTAGCCGGTGCGGAGCGTAGGCGCCCGGCGACCTTGCCGCGCCAGTGCCGGTGCCGTGGAGCCAGAGACTCGCCGCCATTTTAGGCGTCGTCGACGGCCGCAGCGGCCGGGTCAAGTTTTATGTCTGTTGCATAACGAAACGCAGGACCGAGCGAAGCTTCGAAAATATCGGGCGGTCCTCCGCGCCCGACCGAAGATCATTAACTCGACGATAACCCATTTGGACGGGCGCCGTCGGCGCAGGCCTGGCGAGGCGCCAGCGCCGGGCCGCACTTACACCAGTACACCGCAACGAAGTCCTTGTCCTCCAGTATTCGCTCCAGCTGCTTGGCGGTGACCTCCTCGATCTGGGGTTCGGCTTTGTGCGGGGCGGACTTGCGCGCGAGCGCGGGCGGCGCGGCGAGGAGGAGCGCCGCGAGGGCCACGAGGGCCGTCAGCCACCGAGCCATGTCGAGGGCGCGCGCGAACTGAAGCCGCGCGTGCGCCGCCGCCGTGCGCGCACACTCGCACCTCGCGCCCAAACGCGCATGCGCAATCGCCGCACGATCGCCCGCCCGCCCAACCTTTCACTCTCGCCGCCCTATCACATTTTGCCGGACAAAAACAAGACTTCGAAAACAAAACTTGTTGATAGTTTTAATTAAACTAGATTAGCTTTTGTCTTAAGTGACATTATTGGTTTTAATTATTTAAGAATATTGTTTCAATTATTAAGATAGATTCACACATAGAAACGCACATACATAAAACATAATTACATACGCGCGAAAAACATTGGCATCCTGAGTCATTCGGAATAATAATTAATCTTACTAATATGAATGACTAGCTTTATACCGCGACTTCGTCCGCGTACTATTTATAAGTCCAAAACAAACTTTCACCTCACATTGACAAATTTGAAAAATGTAGGAAACCCATAGAAAAGTGTTTTAGAGGAATGATGAGATGAATTTTGTAAATTTCTTAATACTCGCCTCCGTAGCATCAGAAACCTGTGCGCTAGTGTCTAGGCCATTAGGCCTGTTTAGCTAATTTCAGCTGAGCATTGATACATAACAGACATTCAACCAGATTACTCTTTTATGTATATATCTTATTTATTACTTATATTGTAAATACGAATGTTTAGATGAATGAATAACAAACAGTTATAAGGTATATCCAGAATGGGGTATGGATCTGGCTGAAATTTGACATTGATGTAGAATACAGTCTGGAAGAACACGTAGGCTACTAAATAAGTCTTTTTTAATTCTGCGGGGACGAAGTCGCGTGCGATAACTAGTAGTTTAATAAATAAAAGCATAATGAATTGACTAGGACAGGAAGTATCACGATGTCAAAAAAGCTAGTGCGACATACACGAATTTGTGTTTCGGAAGTTCATACTACTGCTTAAACCGTGAGTTTCCACTGCCGAAACACTTATACAAAAGCGTACTGACATCGTTCTGAAAAACGGAGTTTGTTTTTTATGCAAATACGTTCATCATTTTAAAGGCACTGATTTTGGTACCCGGGAGCCCAATATGGCCAAGACATCAGTTTTTGTGACAAATTGAAAATAAGTAGAAATGTAGTAAAATTGTTTAAATAATTGTAAACTCCTTCGAATTCTCTTATTATCAGAATCGAGACAAATACATCAAAAAGTATCACGAAAAATATTTTGCCGCAACTGTTTGTGCAGGCGTTGTATCATTTTATTTTTAAGTACTTGTGTTAGCTACACAAGTACTTTTATTATAACACTAGCGTTCGCCAGCGACTTCACAGCGCAGGATATAAAAGTAACCAACAATATCCCGGCGTGCATCAATAGCCTACAATTATATCCCGTCATAAAGCGAGCCAACCGTTCCGAAGATTACCAGCTCCAAACGCAGCGTTGCGGACAGATACACAGAGAGACAAACAAACATTTTAGTAATTAATATGTATAGATAGAAACAGATAATTATGATGTAAATATTGTTTTTATACCGAAACAAAGTAAAAGTAATCAAATAATTTAAAATCAAGTTTCGGAACGTCTATGTAAATGTCAACGACAACTGACATCAAGTCAACCAATAGGGCTGCATAAGGATCCGGAATTTTACTACATTTATATCGACAGCTCTAGTTGAAAGTCAATTTTTAAAAGGGTCATTATCGTCTTAGGAATTCTACTTCTAAATTTTACTCTAAGTCGTATTAACACGGTAAATGTAAATTAACCGTCGGATATGGAGATACCAACTCATTGTTATCTCCAGATTTTTTGCTAACTTACTTCGAAGCTATATAAAAGTTTTCTAAACGAAAAATAGCCGAAAGCTCTTTATATAATAAAATTTAATGATTTTAGTTAGGTAAATAAATAAAATTTTACTGTTAACTTAAATGTCCCTTCATCGAATAATGCTTATCGACAAAAACTGATATAGCACATCACTAGCAAAATAAGTGACCAATGAGAGGCTAGAACCTAATGTCACATGGCCTGTAGTGGGGAGGTCGTGGCGAAGGAAGAGAGCGAGGGTTTCCGAACGAACGGTTCGTGAACGGCGGATCTAACGTAAAAGTTTATTTTATTCATTTTACACTGCCGGGAGTCAATAAATTTTGCCGCTTAGCCGGCTGACTACAACGATACTGTGAAAGTGTTGTGCTGTGAAATAAAATGAATTTAATTATTTAACATTTCATCTCTCTGTGCATAGTGAAAACACTTTTTAAAACTTTTCTCAGGTGTAAAAAGTTTCGGTAAGTTTCTTATAGGTATTGTCACTATTGTTCCACGATCTGTTTGATTTTAGTTGATACGCGTGCATACCTGAGAACGTTATCATAGTTTTATCACGTTATTCGTCCGAGTTACAAAAGTGATTGCTTAGAATTGTCGCATTTCAGCTATTCTATAGTTGCGAAACTTCAAATTTTAAAAATTACACTCGACAAAATGGTTTACTCAGCAACATTACAGCTGTAATATAATGCCTAACTATTACTATGACGTTAAGCAATTATGAATTACCTTGAAAACATAATTTATGCTCCAACAAAAGGTCATAATTAATTACTGTCTCATTACATTACTTTCCATTTGTAAAGATAATTCTGCAAAAAAGTACTTTCAAATACTATTTGTAAATGATAATGTCAAATGTAATTGTCCTTCAGAAGTTTATACTTTTTATTTTTTAATATTGGATGCCAATTAAAACTTCTATCTTTTTAAGTTAGTATTTTTAACTTTAACACTGCAAATTAATTAGGCAAACTTTCTGAAATATATTAAAATTAAATCATTAGAGTAATTACCTAGAACTAACTTATAAGATAGTATTCAAAGTTGTAGAAACATTGTCACTATGTACATTGTTCTAAGTAAATACTAAAATCCAAGTATCAAATGTTAAAAGTTAAGTCTGGAAAGGAACATAACACTCTTTTAGTGCATGGTAATATATGAAATGAGTAGTTGTTCCCTTATGTAGTAAATAGCTATTGTTCTTAAAGTATTGTATAGAAAGGGTGTTCATGTTACCCTATTAAATCTCAAAACATCCATCAATTGCCATATTTCATATAGAAAATAATGATGATTTTATTTTAAAAGCAAATATCAATTCATCATTTCATATTTTGATTTCTTAAGTATTCTGCAACACATTTAGTACTTTTTACACAAACATCCTAAAGTTATTGGTCACTTATTTATTCATTTAGAAGGTAAATTAATGGAATACACAAAAAATAAAAAGCAGATTAACGCATAGCTGAGAAGCATTACACAGTAATTATAAGAAATAAGTTATACCGTTCATATTGATCATATATCCACTATATCTTTGTTTATCTTATATCTTTAAATGAGCAATTCTTGTATACATATAATTGGAATCTCGGAATCGGCTCCAACGATTTTCATAAAATTTGGTATATAGGGGATTTCGGGGGCAATAAAAATCGATCTAGCTAGAAATATTTTTTAGAACATTTTATTTGTGTTTTATCGATAATCAGCTGAAACATAAACTTAACCTTTTCTATCGGTAAGATTCAAAAATATTATTCATATTTTATCATTTTATTAGTAATTCGTACTTAAATATATCGGTCATCCAGGTACTTATTCTTTATATGTTAAATGTGTAGTTTCATTTGTTTTCTAGCTCTGCAAAGACTGCAAATGCCTCTTTAATTGAAAAAAAGAAACGTTATCTGTTTGAGACAAAGGAAACAAAGCATTCTGCCAGGTTATTATTTTAAAGATTTATATCTGTGGCCAGTTTTATCACTTGTAAACTGTGATAGCCGCCTTTTGTTCGGCGCAATCCGCTCGGGGCATTGTTTCGTTCGCTGATTAAACACAATAAAAATTACGGATCTGTGCCGTGCAGTAACAAGGCTATTCGCGAATAGGTACAGACTTTTACACTGTTTTGCAGAATTTGAAAAAAAACTTGATACCGGTTTTGTTTTGCGCATTGTATTTTTCAGGTAATTTACGAATGGCCAAAACTTTTTTAATCATACATGAATTTAATTAAAAAAATATCGTAATAAAAAAAAAGTTTAACACAACTAATACGGCTTTGTATCAATTTAAGTCATGATATTGTTACTTTCTGTCTCCGTGTGACCTATAGTTTCAAGGACAAATCTCTTCTCAATATTTTTAACAAGATAATCCTTCGCCGCGTCATCTATATCATATATCTATTACTTAGAGATACCACGACTAATCGTCGGTTTCTGAAACCAAAATTTCTGTATAAAACATATCGTCATTGTGTGTCATTATATTTGACAAAACAGAGACAGCAATATGTTTTAGACGGAGATTTTGGTCTCAAAACCCACGGTTTTTTTTTTGTTGCCGGAGTAGTCGCTGTTTGCCTTGAAGTAGCATTTACAGCTTCACCGGGCTTGAGGTGGCCGAGCTCAGATGGTGCTTAGCCTGAACCTCGTTTAAGAGTAACAAGACTCGAGGGCTCCCTCAGGAGCCTCGGCTCGGGCTGTTACTTCGTTACAGTTACCGGATTGGGAGGTCACAGAGCTCTTAGATCGCTTAGGTGAATGCTCCATGGAGTACTAGACTCAAGGGTCCCCGAGAGGGGACCTCTGCTTAAACCCACAGTAATTGGTCTTTTGTCGTATGATTAAAATGTACAATTATACTTTCAATATGTAGATATGATATAAAAGTAACCGCGTTGATACTTGAATGCAATTGAATCGTTATCAAATCTTACGATAAAATCTAAGCGTCTATTATTTATACCGCACGATAAGAATGTCCTGTCCAATCACATTTCCAGAATGTTCTTTTATGAATATTTACGATTTAGTAATTACCGGTCGATGTAACCTCCTGGATCTTTATCTATACTAATATTATAAAGAGGAAAGATTTTTATTTTTGTATAACTTACTTCTTACTAATATTATAAATGCGAATGTTTAGATGGTTGGATGTTTGTTTGAAGGTATCTCCGAAACGACCGAACGGATCTCGCTGAAATTTTACATAGATGTAGAACACAGTCTGGAAGAACACATAGGCTATTAATTAAGTTTTTTTTAATACAGAGTCGCGGGCGACAGCTAGTAACAAAAAAAGACAAAAAAATGCTTCCAACTTATATATATAAACGAACATTAGATGATTATCCAATGAATTTAAATTAATTTTATTTCACCTCATTAGACAATATCCAATTTCACGAAAGTTGAAATTGGAAATTGGACAAGTTATAATGCAATTTGAATTGCAAAAGAAAAACTGAACAAGTTATCGAATGACGTAATATTTGAATGTTTCTAAGCTAGCAAGAGCTAAGTCTAGATTACGCAGTGGCTTGGTGCTATGGCTTCTTAGTAATGGTGACCACTTAGCTCTTAACATACATTGTATTTCATATCTATTATAAACGATTAGTCACAAACACATTTGTATAGATACGAAATTAATATCCTTTTGTGTACAAACACAATATTATATTTAAAGAAAATCGTCTATTGCTTCTTAATAAGCTTAAGGTGATATAGCTAGAAGATATTGTTTCCAACGGGATCGGTTTTTTTGTTTATTCTTGGTTACTTGATGTATTACAAATTACAACCATACTGTTACTACATCATCTTTATTTTTCCTTCCTTATCTACTTTTGTTAGTTACGTGGAAAATGATAATATTCTATAATATAACATATACAAAATGTTAACCTATTATATTTATTAGTTAGTAATCCGTATCGCAACGTTCATACTTTTATTTATATTGTTTCAATCATCAAATATGCGGCAAAGATAAAAAACGATAAATTGTCGCGGTAATATTCGTAGAACGATAGACTTTATCGGAGCTATCGTAGATATCAGAAAGTCGGCCAACAATCACCTTAGTGGCTACGTGTCCGTGGAACGAACAACACAGACAGAAAGACAGACATGGCGGAGTATCGTGCTAACAAGGCCGGCATTAACGCTGAAGCACAGGCGAGAATTAATAGCAAGTACAATGATGACATCGCTCATGAAACACTCGAATGGATCAAGAAGCTAACCGGCTCGCCTTCTGACACCTCGGGTAATGTCGACAACCTTTATGAAGTGCTCAAAGACGGTACGCTTCTATGTAAATTGGTCAACGCTATACAAGAAGGCTCGGTTAAAAAGATTAACCAGTCAACCATGGCCTTTAAATGCATGGAGAATATCAACGCATTCCTCGAGGCAGCTAAGAAGTTAGGCGTGCCGCCGCAAGAAACCTTCCAGACTATTGACCTTTGGGAGAGGCAGAATTTGTATTCAGTGGTAATCTGTCTGCAGTCTTTGGGTAGAAAGGCGGGTAACTACGGCAAGCCTTCTATCGGGCCTAAGGAAGCAGATAAGAATGTCCGCGAATTCACCGAGGAACAACTCAAGGCGGGGCAGAACGTCATCTCTCTGCAATACGGCAGCAACAAAGGCCAGCAGTCCGGTATTTCGTTCGGCAATAGACGTCAAATGTGATATTATTAATTTAAATGTTTTTTTTTTATAAAATTTAATAAACAGTATTTTGTATTTTCTTAAATGTTTTTTCTTAATTCAGGTGTGGCAAATCGACATACTTTAGAGAATACGTAACCAGAGTGATTAGATAAACACCAGTCGGTCGTAGGTATGGACTATAAGTGCAATATTGCAATAAAATAAGCTGTAATGCGATTTCGATACTATCATAATAACCATATAATTGGTATTTAATTGCAAATTTTTCTTCTTTATTGTAGACTCAAAGAGCATTACTATTAATTGAACACTATTATAAATGTGAAGGTTTACATTGATGGATGGATTTTTGTTAGAATGTATCTCAACACTGGCAAAACGGATCTCGCTGAAATTTGTCGTAGATGTAGAACATAATATGGAAGAACGCATAGGCTGTTATTTTTTTTAACTGCATGGATGTAGTCGTGTGCGACAGCTAAATAGTTATAATATAAACATTTTAAAATTGTTGTATGTAAATTGTCCTAAAGTTGCCAAATCTCTAATAATTCATGAAATGGTTAGTGAAATTTTATATATTACACACACACACACACATTATTTTATAATAACAAAACTATTTAATAAATAGTAAATAGTTTTATATGGATTTGCATGTTAAACTAATTTGCTTTGTTATATTTCCAAATTTACTTTTCTGAATGACCTTTAGGAAATGTTAGGGGCCAAATTTACTCCCTTGAGGAAACCTTTGCTATTACGTTGACAGCGCTACGGTATATCGACCCAACAAGCCAATAACTCGCGTATGCAATGCAGCTTTGAAGTACTTATACTCTATACATATACATTTTTTTACGGTCTGTCTGAATTTATTGTTAGCATTGTTTGCGAGTGATTTATGTAATCGAACGCTTTATCAAGATTTGTCATGAAATTAAGCAGTAAAATTTTATGATTTTTATGCTATACAGTTTTATTTTTATAGCTATGTAGATTTCTTTATGTCTTAAAAATTATAATCATATTCTATGTTTGTTAGAAGCGTAACAGAACATTTTGAGCAAGCAATATAAAACTTCACTTTTACTTATACAGTCTCATAGAAATTCTATTAACAAATTTAATTGTTTCTATAAATAACGATAACAATGAGTCATAGGCCAGGAAGACAAAGTCACGCGTCGCTAACACCGGAACCACGGATGTCCGAACCGCACCGTTTGAATTATGGCATTGAATGTACATACATCTATCTCATTCACACCTACTAGTTTCTGTGTGTGTAAGAGAGAAAGAGAATTCTGATTACTGCACGAAAATGTTCATGCCATATGTTTTTAGTGGGGATTAATGAACCTTTTTGTTTATAAAACTGGGGTGTTTAGTCTCGACGCAGGCGCATAATTATTTTTCTTTACGTAACAATACTCGATTGGTTGATTATAAATGTAAACAATAATAGTGAAATCGTTAGGTTAGTTTAGGTTTGGCCTAATTCATATTTAAAATATTTTTTTTTTCACAAAACAAAATTAGACTATTATAATATAATATCATGATTTATTTTTAGTTTACATAAAGTTTACGTAATAAGAATAAAATATTATCTTACATTCACTCTCTAAATGAATATAAAAAACCCCCTAATAATATTAGAAAGTATCAAATAATTACACAATATATATTAGTGATGTACACAGTATGAAAATCTAATATCACTAGAAATTAAACTGTAAGAAAGTACATCATTATATACAACTACTTTAACACCATGATACTGCACGTTTAGAAATCGTCTATTAAATGTAAAAGCTTGTTAACTTTCATATGAATTGCCACCTATCAATTCCGTTGACGTGGAATAACAACTTTTATGGATTAATTCAAGGTTCATATTGCCATTAAATAGTATTTACTTCGTCTATTCGTAATAGAGGTGAGAGATAAAGATAAATTTTGATGGGTTTTCAAAAATCAAATCTATTTATATTCGTACTCGTACTTATAAATTCCGTGTGTTTTAGAACTGAGTAAAAGTATATTAGTAGCTGTCGCCCTCGACTCCGTTCGGTATTAAAAAGTATGGTAGATAGCCGATTCTCAGACCTATTAAATATGGATATAACATTTCATAAAAATAGGATACCAGAATTTTATATATAAGACACTAGCGGTCGCTCGAAATTCCGTCCGAATTAAAAAAAACATAATTAGTAGCCTATGTGTTCTTCCAGACTATGTTCTATGTGTATGCCAAATTTCATCGAGATCCGTTCAGCCTTTCTGAAGATATCTTCAAAGAAACAAACATTCATCCATCCATCTAAACATTTGCATTTATAATATTATATTAGTAAGTAGAAGATACTCATGTTTAACTTCGAAAAATAGAGATAAAACATAAAATAGAGACATACACACAAACCATTGTTTGTTTTTAATATTAAAAATAAAAAAAAATATGCACAGACTTGCACTGAGATGTATTAAACGGCTATTTAAATGATGCCGTACGTAGGTGGAATTCAGGGTAATCCGTTAATCCTGGCTTGTTTGAACGGTTCTCTGAGTCTATTATTATGCGTACATTACTTCAACTGGTCAGCGTGACATTATAGAGGATATTACGATAAACTGAATATACTTGGTACTTTAACTATGCTATAAATGTTTCGTTGTTTATATGCAATTCTGCTAGCAAAAAGTGTACTAAGATTTTGTCTGCATCTCAATAAAATAAACTATCACAAACAACTATATTAAAGTAGGTCACAACTTCTAGTATTGAAATTTGGTTATAAAGGTACGTTGTTATTTTTAAAGAAATATGGCAGGGAATCTAAATTATTTTAAAGTTCGTTTAATTCAATAAGAAGAGTAACACACTGATTCCCTGCTAAATCTAGATCCATCTGTCAACTATTAAGGTTCTTACTAAATCTCAGAACATAGAATATTTAGTAGCGTATTCGTGTTAGAATTCCGGCGCCTGCCGCGGTACGCATCGGTAATACGACGCCGCGCTTGTAAGGTTTCCCAAGCTCGTCTGTGGTTAGACCTGCCCTCGATACTATACTATACTCTATAACTATCTATTGTATAAAGAAACGTTTTGATTTAACATGGATTTGTTTATCATATCGATGGTTATGGTTTAAGTATACCTTTCCTATTGGTGGGAGGATTGAGGGATATAAAAGATATGTGATTCATTCTGTAGATTCAATTTAATATGACTTTAACTTATTCTTGAATCACGTTGTTATCGTTAAAATAAAAAAGATAGCCCTCGAGTTATTTTAACCATGTTATCCGAAGGCCTGATTACCGTTAATCCGTATTCGTCCCGTTACTTTGGATAATTTGTAACGGGACGGGATTCGCTGCGGACTCTAACATCCACAAAATAATAAAATGAATACGTAGTTAGTTCTTTACAAAACGAACTAAGCAATAATATTATGTCCAAGTTTGATTACGTAATATTCATTTAAATTAGAGAAACTTTAGACATATATATATTTGATAACATCATTACGTTTGCAAATAACAGAGCTTCAAATCAAACGGTGAAAGCTTTATACGCTTACAGTACTATACGAGAAGTATCCAATATACAAAGTGATCCGTCATCTCGGAGAAAGTATACATTGCACCTTGTGTCAGTGGCTGACCTATGTTAGCTGTACAAAGGATTGCATTAACTTTCATACAGTCGTGTAAAACGCGAAAGTTGATGACTGTAATTGTTTGATTTGCTGTAAGTAAAAATGTGTGAGATCTGTAATGTTGCTGATAGACGTTTCAGTTTTCATCTAAAAAGATGCATTAAATCCCCTTTCTTTTATATGTTCACGAACTACTTTATGAGTTTGTGATATCGATGTATTTCGATCGATCGGTACTCTAAGCGCGCAATCAATACTGGTTGAAAATTTTTAGGGCACTAAAGCCAGTTAATTATGCTTGTAATCTTATAATTTTGTCTACTTAGGTAACTTAATTAAGTAACTCCTTGATTGGAAAGAAAGATCTTTCGAATTTAGTTGTTTTAGTACGTCGTCTTTATTACGTCAAATCTTACTTCTTATAAATATTATAAATGCGAATATTTAGATGGATGGATGTTTGTTAGAAGGTATCTCCAGAACGGCTCAACGGATCTTGATGGGAGTCGGAGTCTCTGGCGATAGCGAGCTATAAACTCTTGCTATCTCTTTGAGACTACGCCATGTGAATGTCTGTTAATGATTGTAACATGTTATTCTCACGTTCAACACGTGCAAATGCGTCGCAGTGGGGGGCCACAATTGATTCGTCCTCGCGCTCCCCCGATGATTTGCTTGTTAACCTGCCCATCGATACCCGACCTTAGCAGTAATTGTTTACTCACCCACTTTATGTGCACATCATATTAGCGACTCGCTTAACCCCAGTTTACTCGTGTTATCATATCATGACGTTATTGGTTGGCGTAGTCTTAACAGCCTGCGAGTATTGAAACTGTGGTGTAGATTTTTGGGAACCATATAATGTGACTTCGGTTCTGTTTATCTGTATATAACAGTATATTGTTTAAACTTGTTATGTAACTCACTTAGTGATGACTAATACAAAACAGAAGCCGCCGGCGGAAGTAGCGAGGCATTAGAATAGGTTTGTACACATTAACAATTCCTAGCGGTGAAGACAGATCGATAATCAACTCTACATTCTAGCTATGAGGTTTAGGTATAGGTTCCAAACAAGATACTCTAAAAAATACTTTTTGCGTTAACTTCTTCATGACTCAACACTGTCGTCAATTAATACATTTACTTTAAGTTACACTTCAAAAGTGGTTATACCTATAAACTGATAATGTAAAATAGTGTTATGTACGGGAAATCGTCTTGCAATTTGCGGCTTCTCTCCGCAAAGCGTTTGCTTGATATCGATTAACCCACATGTCGACAAGTGACTGTCGCAGTTTCCTTGGCCACCTCTCACACCGTTGTAACGGTACGCATCGTCCTAATAATCTACTTGCAAATTCATTATGTTTCGCGGACTGCATTTACGGATACCTTTATATCA